CCCCAACACCATCACAGGTGATCCTGATGGACCACGTGGACTGGCTGGAGGACAGCCAAGCGCAGGAGCTGGCCAGGAACCTCGCACTGCACGTGAGTTCCTGCGCGCGCATTTGTGTGTGTGTGTGTGCGTGTGTGCGAGTGTGTGTGTGTGTGTGTGTGGCGCGGAGCATACCAGAGGTTGCGGCGCGTGTCGCAGGCTATCAGGGGCTGGACCTAGCCAGCGGCTGCGCGGAGCGGCCCGTCGCTCCCGTCCCGGGCGCCCCTCGCTCGGCCACCTCTGGGGCCGACCACCCCCGGGGCGTTGCATGGGGCGCAGCAGCCCCGGCTGCACAGGACGAGCAGGTCATCTGAAGCCCGCCTCACCGAACCCCGCCGCCGCTCCCCCCCTGCAGGTGCGGCCCGGCGGCATCGTGATCTGGCGCAGCGCGAGCCTGAGCCCGCCCTACTGCAAGCACATCGCGGCGGCCGGCTTTGACGTGCGCTGCCTGCAGCGGGCCACCGACGGATACATGGACCGCGTCAACATGTACTCGAGGTAAGGGGGTTTTCAGGGTTTAGAGTTTAGGGTCTGGGGTTCAGGGCTAAGGGTTCAGGGCCTGGGGTTGAGCAGCGCTGGCCCAGCCCGCGGCTGCCGGCCGCCGCCCACGGTCCGCCTGAAGTGTGTGGATGATGAGATGCGGACAGACGAGCTGTCTTGTTTCAAGTCGGGGGCTGGTCCGATGCAGAGGATGAAGAATTCGAAAGGTGCGCTGCACGCATCGCAGGGCGCGATGGGCGGCAGGCACCAACCTTGAAGGACACTGTAGCAAGGCAATCATCCTGCACGCGACACGCGCTCACACCCAACCACCCATGCGCCCGTCCGTCCCCCCTCTCTTTCCCGCCCCTCCAGCTTCTACATGGCCGTCCGCAAGGACAAGAGGGCCTGAGCAACGCATGGGCCAGGCTCTCGCGGAACGCACCCCCCCGCATGCCGCCTACGGACCAACTCGGCGAGCCGGGCGGCATGCCTGGGGCCAAACCGCTCCCCAGCGACAGCCGGCCCGGCGCGGCACGCGTTCAAGGAAGCCGAGGGGGTATTGTGCGTAGCCTTCTAGGCGGCGGGCGCGGAGGCGGCGCGCCCGCGGCCGCCATCCGGGCCCGCGCCCCGCGGCGCCACCCGCCGACTGCCGATAGTCTCTCCCCCCCGGGCCCCCTGCCCGCGCGGCGCCCAGCACCCCCGCGAGGGGTTGCCCCCCTTGACCACCGTCGATCAGCCCTTGCGCCCCCCACGCGGGCCCGGGCGCGCGCGGCGCGTCTCCTTAATCATCCGGGCACGCGCCTTGTCGCGAAACCTGTGCTGCCCTTTTCGCCCCCTTCTTTTTCTGTGAGGTGTGTTGGATGGCGGCCCTGACGTTGGCTGTCTTCTCCAGGGTCGGATGACGGGCCGTCGCTGCTGAGGCAGGCGGCAGGGGCCTCGGCCCTGCCTTTCTACCGCCGCGCTCCCGGGCTGCGAGGGGCCGGCCTGCCCGGGAGGAGTCGTGCTGAACACCCCTTTGAAACCAGAGCGGCTCTCGTTCACAATTGCTCCCTTCACCTCCTAGCTTGGCCGTAATTGCACACACACACGCACACATATACACACACATTGACGCAACCCTCCAACGGCGCGGCGTGCGCGACCCGTGTAACCCGGGCGAGCCCTGTTGCCTCTTGAATCGGCAGGGTTGATCTGGGGCCACCATCATTTGGTGTTCTGGGAGGGCGCTAAGGCGGTCCGCGAGTGCAGAGCGGGGCGTCGCATAGCGGCGCGGCGCTCGGGGCGGCCGGAAACATCTGTGTGCCGGTGGCGGTCCCAGGGGGATGAAATGATGGGCCGCCTGCGGGGTCTGAAGACAGTTGCTGGGACTGACTGCTCGGCGGACAAGCTGCCAAGGGAAAGTGTTGAGGGAGACCATGCAAGCGGGGCGGGGAAGGGGGGCGGTTAGCCCGCGCCGAGCATGGGACAGAGGCTCGCCGGGGCATGAGCCGCTCGCATGTTACCCCTCTAGAATTTAAGGCTCCCCACGCCCAATCCCGGCGACAGTGGAGGGGACACTTCTGTTTGTCACCCCCGTCACTCGTGGTGGTGACCGCCCCTGGCCGTCCTGGGCGACGCACAACCGCGGGCCCGGTCAGTGCGGCGCATGCACTGCTGCGGCCGTCGCGTGTTGGAGTGCACCAGCCACGGCTGAAGGGGCGGGCTCACGCGCGCTCTCTTTGTGTGGTGGACCACCAGGTGAGGGGAGCGATGACGTCCACAATGCAAGCAGACTGCCGACTGCGAGCTGCTTGGGGCCTCGCCGAAACGCATCGGCCACCATTTCGACATGTTGTTGGCCGTCCCCTTGCGCTGTGGTCGCCCCAGGAAGCGCTGTTTGCAGGTGATGACGCACGCGAGCTTGAGCTTTTTCATCACACGTGTTGACGCCCGGCAACACCCCTTCATACGGCACCGTCCGTGCCCGTGCCTCCTCCTCATGTGGCGCGTCGCACGGCGCTTGCTGCAACAGTGCAAGCCGCGCGCCTCACCCTCTGCCAGCAGGCCCAGGAGCGGCGTGCGGTGGCCAAGAAGTGACAGATTGAGGCAACGCGGGTGACCAGCAAGTGGCAGTGGCCATTGTAGTGCCATCGGTGAGCCGCCAAACCTTCCGATTGTTGCAGAGCCTGCACAGGACACATCCTCCGTGCTTTGTATTTGGTCTCTTCGGCCTCGCACACCACTCTTGCCCTAGCCGAAGTTGGCACGGTCCCGGCCTGCACCGTCGGCGCAGTAGGTGAGCGTGTGATACGCCAAATCTGAGCTTGACGTGACTCAGTTGAATCTATGTGCCTGACTGAGGCCGCGCTGCTGCTCAAAATACCACGGTGACAGCGAGGTGGTCGCCAGCCACGGCTCGTTCGTCGTCAAATCTACTTTGTTGCACAAAAAATTCACAAGTAGTGCAGTGCCTCTCGGTTTATCGTGGTCGCGCCCGGCGGCACTGCTGGCAGAGATCTGGTGCACGCCGTCATTGCGCCATTGGCCAAACCTGGCGTCGGCAACCTTTCACAATAGGCACACGTGCGCGCGCCAGCATTTCTCAAGTGATGTCCTCAGCAGCACGTGGCATGCATGCGCCAATCGGCCTGCACGGACTTCGGCCACCGCCGCCTCTGCTGTTGCTTGTCCTGGCGGCAATCGCGGCAAGCAATTACCGCTTTTACCTTCTGGGGTCGCATGCAGCTCTGCCATCTGATGCAATCGATTGTGACATACACATGCATGCCGCCCCACCCATCAAAAGCACGTCGCCCCCCCCCAGTGCTTCATCACGCCGTCTCCTCTCAGTCTACCATCGCGACGCCACTCCCGCCTCGCCCCCTTGCTCCAATGCACAGGCGCCGCGCCGGCGCCCTCTGCAATAACAACGGCTGCCAACCGCCCCACCAGCCGGCCGGGCACCAACCCCGCTGCCCAGCAGCAAGGGGCGCCGCCCCAGGCCGCGGTGTCGCCCGCCGCTGGGCCCGCCCTCCTCTTTGTGAACAACATCAACGTCGTTCCCAGGTCCCCCGCGGGCGGCGGCCCGCTGACAGTTGACATCACCTTGAGGAACCCGGGCGGCAGCAAGTCCCCCGCGGTCAACCTGCAGGTGTGCAGGCGTCAGCGGGCGGCGCGTGCGTTTGCCTTGGCGCCGCCGGCAAGAAAAATGCCCACCTCCATTGCCGCCTTGCCCGTGCCAGGACCCGGGCGGTCCGCGCAGTGGAGGGGCCGTTCAGCCTTGCTTCGCTTGAAGGCCGGCCAGCGCCGCGGTAACATCTGTGGTTTGGAAACCTTGCAGAATTGATCGTTTTCGGCCCGCCCTCGCGCCGGCGAGCGCTCTCGCAGGTGTGGGTGGACCAGCCCGCCTTCCAGGAGTGCGGGGCCACCGGTGACTTGACAATCGCCGTGGCGCCGATCCCAGCGGGCGGCAAGCGGACGATCACAGTGCGCAAGCTCAAGGCGCCGCCGGGCGCAGGGACGCGCACGCTCCGCGCATTCGTGGACAGCGACTGCAAACTCGGCCTCAACCCCTTCCTCTCCCAGGTGACAACCGCTCATGCATGCGCGGGCTGTTTCCATCTGCACAGTCGCCGCAGCGCATGCCATTGCAATGCCGGACCTCTCTTCGGCAACACGTGTTGTGCGCCGCGACCACGGGTCCGCATCCCAAGGGACGCATGGTGCGGCCTGCGGAGTGGCTGGGGCCCGACGCGCGATCACGCTTTTAAAGTCTCCCCCTCCTGCCGCAGTCTGCTACCCCCTACACCGCCACTGCGGTCCCGGTGTCCAGACTCCGCCTCGCCGGCGTTGACTGGGCCAAGAACGGCAGGTGCGCTGCAGCCCGCATCTGGGCAGCTGCATGGGGTGCTGCCGGCTGGGGCGTAAGTGCAGAACCAGCACCATGCGGGCCTGCAGTCAACCCTGAACCCTGCACGTACTTTGGTGCAGCAGCAACCTCTCACAACGACAGCCTGGGGGTGGTTGACCATGCCAGGGGGCGTAAGGGAGAGAGCGTGCCGCGCATCATACCCTAAATTGATAATTCCCTCCTCCTCCTTGCCCATCCATCCACGAACCCCCACCCCAGGTACGAGGGCGTGTTCTGGTTCAACGCAGTCTTGCCGTCCAAGACCTTTGGCATCAGAATCGATGTCGAAAACGAAGGCAGCGTGGCCGCCAAGTTGGGATCCATCAAGTTTTTCGAGGTGCCCACGTTCTCCAGCAACTTCACTTTCACATGCGGCGCCGCGGCCGACTTCACGACTTTGAAGTTCAGGTCCGCCGTGGTGAAACCGGACGGCAAGTTCAAGACGTTTGTTGTCAAGGGGCTCCGCGCACCCGCAACTCCTGGGTGGAGGACGCTGGCGGGTGCTCTCGACGCAGGTGGGCGCCCGCGCTCCAGCGTGTGCCGCCGCGCATGTGCTGCCACGCACACTGTGTGTGTGTGTGTGTGTGTGTGTGTGTGTGTGTGTGTGTGTGTGTGTGTGTGTGTGTGTGTGTGTGTGCGTGTGTGTCTTTGTGCGCGCGCGTGATTCCCCATTTTGTAGGTGCTACACTGCTGCAGTGTGCCCGGACCGACCGCAAATGGGCGGCGGCAGCTTGCACAGCAAGGTCGATTTGTGGGCGAGCAGCGGTTCAGGCAACGCAGCGCCGCGTGGTGTGGGCAGTGCGTGCTTTGGCGTCATCGTCGCACGCACTCGCGAGCAATGGCGGGGCGCATGGAGGCGGTTGGTCAGGTGTGCGTGAACATCACAATAGAGTGATGGCAGCCCCCAAATCGTGCACCTTGCAAGTGTGTCGACCACAACAACGCGAAGATGTTGCTGGGTGCAATACGTTGAGTTTGTCCCAAAGCAGCTGCCTTGCCAATCTGGCATCCGCAATGGCAGCCCTGTGCACACACGCACACACACCCATGCTTCTGCACATGCACACGCACGCGTGCAACCCGCGCGCTTTTTTCTGACGGCCGCGCCTGCACGCTTACCCACGGCTGAACCACGCACCACCACAGACTGCGGGGCGACGAAATCCTTGACGGACGACACAACTTTTTACCAAGACTATCTGGTGCTGGCCGAGCCCCTGCCAGAATGGCGCGTCACGACCATCGTCACAACCAAGCCCGACAACACACTCATTTTCAAGGTCACAATCCAAAACGTGGGGTTGGGACCCGGCGCGCCCGGCGTCGTGTCCGTGGCCCCAGACACCACAGCTCTGCAGTCGGCGCAGGTCAGCTGCAACACATCCTCCACCGCCGGCTTTGTGTCGGCCCCCGCGGTGACGACGCCGCTGCAGGTGGGCAAGAGCGTCACCGTCACCATATCAGGCGTGCCGGCGCCGGCGAAGAGCTCGCCCCCGATTGAGCGCGAGGGCACCGTGCTCGTCGATAGCAAGTGCCAGACGGTCGAAATCAATGAGGCAGTCAATGGGAGAGGGCTGAACGGTCCGGATCTCCGGCCAAGCCTGGTGTATGCCAAGTACAAGATTTGACAAGGGACCTGCGTGTACTGCCGTTGGCAATCAAGAAAGGCGGTGTTGGCACGATTAGCACTGAAGGTCACAAAATTCAACTTGCTTTTGCAATAGGGCCCATCCGCGACCTGCCGGCCACTCACGCACTTCCATGCAGCATGGGCTCCCGCACTGCCGGCTGGCTGCTTCTGTTAGTCTACTTCACTTGTGATGCACGTCCCCCAGCAGCGGCCTCGCGCTGACTTTTCTTATCAACAATCACTGTGCATCAAGATCAACGGCACCCTTGCACCGAGCTTTCTTGCCCTTGCAGCCAAACCTGGCACCTGTGCGCATGTCCCGTGCTTTGACATGACTGCATGTTGCCAACTCTGGCACTTGGATGGTGTTGATTCATGAAGCGCTTCCTACCTATTCTGGGCCCCAGCATTGTGGTCCCACATACATTGGCTCGTAGTGCCACGTGGTGTGCACACCAAATGACTAAACCACAGGCGCCCCTCATGTGGCTGACGTCATCGCCACACAGCCTCAACATCTGTCCATCAACCATGCTGACGTACGCATGTATGCATTTGGGCATCGATGTTCGCTGCAAGGATGTTTCACGGCCTGCACGGCGCACCCTCTGTCCCCCTCATCCACCATTGAACAGCGCGCGCTTGTCAGCCTGGATGCTGCACGCGCGCGCGCGCGCACACACACACACACACACACACACACACACACACACACATTGACGTGCGCTACCTATGTAATCTGGGCGGGTCGTGTTGCCTTGTGTCTTGGCATGGGTCGTTTCGGGCCGACGTCATTTGGTTTTCTGGGGGGGTGGTGCGCCAGAACGGAACGGGGCACTGCGTAGCGTCGCGGCACTCGGGACGGCCGCAAAGAAAAACAAAAGTGTGCCTGGGGGGCTTCCAGGGTAATCAGAGCATGAGCCGCCTGCGCGGTCCTGCGACCATCTGTGCGACTGTTTGCTCTCACTCAATGAACAAGCTGCCGGGCGACAAACGTTGAGAGATGGAGACCGCGCAGGGGGGCCGGTCGTCGAGCCCACGCCGAGCGAGGGGCAGATGCTTGCAGGGGAATGAATCACCCGCATATTCCCCGTTGCTCAATCCCAGTGACCTGGGAGGGGACTTTTTGCATGTCACTTTTTGTTGCTCACGTCACTCGCAGCAGTGTGCGGCCGCGGCCAGGTAAACCCTAAACCCTAAACCCTTCGCGGCAGCCCTGGGCGCTTCTGGGGCGCCCTCAAGGCGCGTGGGCGCACTGCCGCGGGCAGCGGCTTCACGCTGGAGGAGATCGGCGAGCACTGGTCGA